CCGAAAAAACCATAACGATCGCATGATTGCGATAACTGATATTTAACGGAGTTGGGCGTGACGAAACAATTTCTGCTTGGGGAAACTACACATGTGGCAAATGAATAGCACAACGAACAGTGGAAAATGAGGGTCGAACACCACGTTGACTATAAGCAACAAAACTGCCATCTGAAGAAACAATATGGTGACTCACCTTATTTCAAGGAGCCGCTTTTCGTGAAATTGTAAATCTTTCTCTAGCACATTATTGTATTGCTTCCATGCATTGCAACCATACTGCGCCATTAACTCCAGATTTTTTATCCTCGTCGCCTGGTGTTCTAACTGAGCCTGAAGGTTGTGTAAGAAGGGGCAGATTTACAAGCACACATACCTCCGCGTTTTCTACAGCATCCTGCCAGGCTTTCACATCGGTCATTTTACCCGCAGGAGGTGGCGGTAGTTCATATCGTTTCATACTCAGTAGTTCCATAGGAAGACGGTTGGATAGTCGATCGAATTCCGCCTTTATCATTTCTGTTTCAAATTTTGGAACAACTGGACCGGATAATGAGGGTAAGTGTTCGAGGTAATTTTTAGTTGGTCTGTATCGTTTCATCTCCTCTTCAACAAGCAGAGCAGCTGCTTCTCGAATCCCTGGGTCGTCATAGCCTTTATCGAAGTAAGGGAGAGCATCAACAACACCAACATATTCTGTGTTCATTGTCCCAGAAAGGACACCAAAGCTGGCAAAGTAGGTAAAACACTAGATTAATGAACTGCACATAGGATATACCAATCAAAACCAATTGTTGTAAAAATAGTAAACGACTATCTAAGGTCCGTTGTAAGATTAATGAACTGCACATAGGATATACCAATCAAAACCAATTGTTGTAAAAATAGTAAACGACTATCTAAGGTCCGTTGTAAGACTCGCATATGATTATTGCCACCTTGGTAGTAGTTCAGGAAACCAAGATGAAATAAATCACATTACAAGAAACGAAGGCAAATAAGGCTCGTATCAAAAACTCTAGAACAAACTCCGACAACTCATTATCAAACACAGAAATAAGGGGCGCAGCAGACCATCGTCTATCTCTATCCGAAATAAAATGGGGATAGTGATCCCACTAATAACATTATACAATCTTCAACTTCCGTAGTCTAGTCGGCACTGAAATGGAAAGCATATAGCAGACGGAAGGTATTCAGTAAAAATCAAACAAACGAACAACGTGTAACACAAAATACACATCAGGCGAAGGAGACCAAGGGTAGGCACTGGTGTTCATTGCACCAGAGTGTGCAATGAAAAAAATGCGCTCGTGAAGGATTGTAACAATGTTGGACGGCGATTCCCAAACCTTATGCATCTTAAGTGAAAAAACTCATATGGATAACTCCATTCTAAAGTGTCATGATTATCCTTAAGAATAATAATTTCCTCCAGAAATTGAAATGGATGCGAGTTTCAGAGCATCTGCATTAACGAGACAAGGTGACCTGAACAACGATATAAGTGACCAACGTCAGAAAGGAGACAGGGTAGAACACAAAGCTTTGCGGCACATTTCAAGCAAGATGCCACAATGACGGTAAATGCTTGAAAGTGACGCAGAAGGATCTCTGTTTAGGAAGTTTCCGATTCCGCAAAGTAGTGATTAAGTGATATCAAAAGCAATGAGTCTGCGCAACAGCCAGTTGTGTAGGTTTTCTATACAGACCTCTCTAAGATCAACTAATGTGAAATCAATTGCA